GGGTGGAGGGTGAGTAGTCTCTCTTCACCAGGAATAAAGTAAATTTAAAAAAAAATTAATTTTGTGACCCACATGAGAAAATCCAAGAATGAATGAACTGGGGACCAACAGATGACATAATGGTTACACAGTTCGAGTCCCAGACGCAGCAGCTTAAAACTCATGCCAGGCGCGTATGTGTGCATGCCCAAGATCCCAAGAGGGGAATGGAGGAGAAGGGATTGCAGCACGGCCATTCCCCTGGGAGGAGGTGTGATTTTTTGCTTTTTTTCTCTCTGTCTCTCCAGCGAGCTCACATGCCCTACAGCAAAAGTCTCTCTCAATAAATAAAAACAATAAATGAACTGGGGGTAGAGAGGAGGGGAACCACCCACCGTGAGGTTTACACATTGCCAGATCTGAATCAAGCAATTTGGGTCAGTTCTTTGTGACTGATGGGGAATCCCAGCCACAGTTTGTTTAAATACTTAAAACAAGGAGCTGCCTCCAAACAGCAGGGATCCAGGCTCATTCAGGCTTTCTTTCTCCTCCAGATGGTTAAAAGTGAGCAATTCACAAGTTTGCAGAAGGCACAGTGAAGTATGCAAACAAAGAGCCCTTTCCTCCATGCAGCCTTCAGCTCACCCGTCACTTCAAGAGTATTCATGAGAAGAACAAGGTTCCACATGGCTACTGTGAACTAGATTTTTAAGGGAATGAAGATGTTCTACTAATAATTCAGCCTCCAACAAACGAGCTAGCGGCAGAAGAAGCCACGGGCCTTCAGAACAAGGTTCCACATGGCTACTGTGAACTAGATTTTTAAGGGAATGAAGATGTTCTACTAATAATTCAGCCTCCAACAAACGAGCTAGCGGCAGAAGAAGCCACGGGCCTTCAGAACAAGGTTCCACATGGCTACTGTGAACTAGATTTTTAAGGGAATGAAGATGTTCTACTAATAATTCAGCCTCCAACAAACGAGCTAGCGGCAGAAGAAGCCACGGGCCTTCAGAACAAGGTTCCACATGGCTACTGTGAACTAGATTTTTCGCGCCGCGCGGTTTTGTACTTTGTAAATTTTTTTTTTAAATAAATAACAGTAATTACAAATTTTTTGTTTTTTAATTTTTTTCTTTTTATTGTTTTTCTCTGTCTCGTTTTCTTTTTTCTTGTCTTTCCACCCTCCAATATCCTTTCAATGTGTTTTTAGACAGATGTAAGAACCCTGTAGCTAAGCATTCAAATACTAGACTAGTAGGATTGAAATATTCACCACTATCTACTAAATCTGCTACACCAGCAAGCACAATAGAACAGCAAAGAGATTCTGGATCACCTCTGTCTGCTTGCTCCTTAACATTAAGGCTGAACCTCCAGAATTTGAAAGAAAACACAACATTCATCAGATGACAAGAAATCACCGCCGGATCACGAGAAACATGGGAAAACAAGAAAATACCTCTCCTCCTAGGGAAAAGAGTAACTCTTCATCCACAAGCAGTTCGGTGAAAATCATGGAAATGTCTGATAAGGAATTCAGATCATTCATAATGTCTAAGCTAACAGAGATGGAAGAGAAGAGAGATAATGAACTACTAAAGAGAAAGGAGAAAGAGATTGACGAGTTCCAAGAGATGAGGAAATTCCTGCAAGATCTAAAAGTGGAATTACACACTTTACAAAAGACTCAAACCGAACTGCTAGAGATGAAGTCTATAATACAAGAAGTCAAAATCTCCCTGGAAAGCATTAAAAGCAGACTAGATCATTCAGAAAATAGAATCTCAGATGTAGAGGAGAAAATGGCTGGCCTAGAAAAATCCACCATGAAGGCTGAGAAAATGGCACAAAAATTTGAGAATAATATGCGAGAAGTACTGGATACCATCAAACGTCCAAATATCCGGATAATTGGCATTCCAGAAGGTGAGGAAACCCATAAGGGCATTGATAATCTATTCCAGGAAATCCTGCAAGAAAACTTTCCAAACCTAGAGAGGCATTCAAAGATCCAGTCCCAGGAAATACAACGGACCCCAAATAGAATCAACCCTAGAAGATCTTCTCCAAGACACATTATAGCCAGGTTGACCAAAACTGCAGACAAAGACAAGATACTAAGATTAGCAAGAGAAAAACATCAAGTTACCTACAAAGGACATCCCATCAGGCTAACAGCAGATCTCTCATCAGAAACAATAAAAGCGAGGAGAGAATGGGAAAATATATTCCAAGTGTTAAGAGAGAAGCAGTTTCAGCCAAGAATACTGTATCCGGCAAGATTATCTTTCAGGTGGGAAGAAAAGACAAGAACATTCTCAGATAAACAAAACCTGAAAGAATTTACCAGCACCAGACCAGACCTCCAAGAAGTTCTCAAGGATGTGCTGTATCAGGAAAACTAAACGCAGATACATGGAAATAAGAGTCCAAAAACTGAGAAAGTAGCTAACTTAATCATAGGGACAAGTCTGGAGTTGAATACTATATCCCAGAATTTAATCAGGAAAATTGAACCAGAACAGAAGATAAAAGTATATGAGACTGATAGGTTCATGCACCTACCATTTGAACAGAATCCTAACCTGTTTCCGGGCTTTAAGCAAAGTTCCTTGGCGGTTCTTTGATTTAAGTTAAAACTGGTTTTCTTAGTAGTAACGAGGGAACTCACCTTTGAAAGTAGTCAGGTTATGTAGGAAATTGTGTGATCAATGCAATGTGGGTGGGAAGGGAATGGAGGACAATTTTGGACACTAGAGGTGGTGTGAGAGGAGGGTGGGAAGGGACAGAGGGTCAGAAAGAGGGGTGGAAATAATTCTAGCAACTAGAATTGGAAATTTATTTTTTTTGTAATGTGCATGATTGAGTCACTTTGCAGTGTGTACTGGATGGGAGATCGCATTTTGTGTGCTGTGATGATGCCTAGGGAAGGAATGTAAATTGAGTTACAAAAAAAAGTTTCAGGAAAACAAAATGTATCTATTCAATGACTGCAGTAGGATATGTAGCCCCAGTTAGGTGCTACTTTATAGGATGCGTAAAGTTAGACTTGTGCTCATGGAAATGTGTGTGTCACATGTGTTTGCTAGGAGGGTATTTGGATTGATGAGGGTCTTTGGTGATTCAATAAAATGTGGGGGGGGAAATGGTATAGAAATAGATAACAGAGACAGTGTGGGAGGAGAACAGGAGGTGGCAGAGGGTAAGAGAGGGAACCAAGGATGGGGGAGAAAAAGCAAAACATACAGAAAACAAGAAATGGAAGATCATTTGCTAATAATAACATGTTCGTTGATGTGCTTGATTGAGACAATATACAGTGTACTCTGGATGGAAAATCTCATTATGTATGCTGTAATGATGTACAGTGAATGAATGCAAATAAATTGGAAAAAAAAAAAAAAAAAATCTAAAACTTATAAAAAAAAAAAAAAAAAAAAAGAGTATTCATGAGACTCATGCCTAGGTTGAGGTTCTCGACCAGCTGTAGCTTCATCTTGTATGGTCAGTCAACCAAGGCCTGCAAAGCAGTCACAAACCAGCCCCCAATCACAGACCTCCTCCAACTTCTGCTGCCTACAAAAAGCACACAAATCCCACTGTATTTAGAAACTCATTTTTATGAATGGCCCAAATGAAGGGATATACTGCTTGACTTCTAAAGAGAGACAGAAATCCCTATGTTGAAATAGCACTACAGTAGAAAGCGACCAAGTTGATATTAAGGCATAGACAAAAATGATCAACTGAACTTTTGGACTTCATCAAAATTTGAAACTTCTGTGCATCAAAGGAAACTATCAACAAAGTAAAAAGGCAACCCATAAAATAGGAGAAAAATATTTGTAAATCATATATTGGATAAGTAGTTAATATTCACAATTTTTAAAACACAATTCAACAGCAATAAAATAAGCAACTCAAGTGAAAATGGGCAAAAGACTTAAATAAACATTTCCCCAAAGCAAATAAATAGATAGCCAATCAGAACATGAGAAGATGTCCAACATCATTAATCATTAGGGAAATGCAAATCAAAATATCCTCTTCACAATTATTTGGATGACTGCTATTTAAAAAAAAAAAAATGTAGTGGCGGGGTAGTGGCGGGACCAGCAGTTAGCGTAATGGCTATGTTGCTGGACTCCCACATAGTTGACCATGGTTCGAGTCCCAGACCCAGTGGCTTAAACTCGCGCTGGGTGCGTGTGCATGCGTGCCCAAGATCCCGAGAGGAGAATGGAGGAGCAGGGATTGTGGCGTGGCCATCCTCCCTGGGGGGTGATTTCTCGCTTTCTGTGTCTCTGTCTCTCTCTGTCTGTCTGGCGAGCACATGTGCCCTATAGCAAAAATCTCTCCCCCCAAAAAAGTAGTGGCATATGCCTATAGTCCAGATACGCAGGAGGCAGAAGGATTGCAAACTGGAGGCCAGCCTTGGCAACAGTGAGACCTTGTCTCTAAAAAAAGAAAAAAGAGGGCTGGTTCATAGCGCAGTGCTTAAGCGTGACTGACTGTGGTTCAAATCCTAGTCTCAGTGGCTTGAAAGACACACTGAGTGTGTGTGCATGCCCAAAATCCTGACGGGAAGGAGGAATGGAGAAAGAAGGATTGTGGCATGACCATGCTCCATTGGCGGGTACTTTCTGTCTGACTGATGAGGAAAAAAAAAAAGCAAATAACAAGTGTCAAGGGTTTGGAAACATTAGAATCCTCGTGCTTTACTGGTGTGCGTGTAAAATAGTGCATCCACTATGAAAAACAGTATGTCAGCTCCTGAAAATATGGGTTGACTCTGTGGACAAGTTATTAATGGAGTGAGAGCCCTCAAGGCCGACTGTGATTTTAATCCTGGCACCATTGGCTTGAAGAACATACCTGATGCATGCATGTATGTGCCCCAAATCCCAACAGGATGGGGAAATGGAGGGGAAGGGATTGCAGTGTGACCATGCTCCCACTGAGGGGGTTCTTTCTCTTTTTCTCTCTGTCTCTTTCTGGCCATTATAAAGCATAGAGTTACCAGCTGTTCTACCACTGGGTGTATAGTCAAAGGGATGGCAGCAGGGAGCTGCACAGAATAAATGCGTGTACACCAATGTTTGTAGCTGCGTTTTTCACAATAGCAAAGGAAGAGGCGATCTGAGTGTTCATCAACTGTGTGGATACACAGGGTCAGCAGGTGGCGTGGAGGTTAAGGAGCCTGATCCCGCGTGGCCAACTCCAAGGTTCAAGCCTAGACACTGTGGCTTGAAAAATCATGCCAGGCATGTGCATGTGTGCACAAAACCCTAAACAGAGGATGGAGGAGAAAAGATTGCAGTGTGGCCACCCCCTCCCCCCGGGGATAATTTCTCACTTTTCCTCCCTGTCTCTTCTGCTGAGCACTCATGTCCTATAACAAAACTAAACAAAATTTTAAAATAAAATAAAAGGGACCAGCAGATGACATTAATGGTTACATCACTGGACTCCCACGTAGTCGACGGTAGTTCGAGTTCCGGATCCAGCACCTTAAAACTTATGCCAGGCTCGTGTGTGTGCATGCCCAAAACAAAACCCCAAGGAGAGAATGTGGCCATCCCCCGAGCGGTGATTCCTCACTTTCTATCTCTCTGTTTCTCTGTCTCTCTGGAGAGCATATGTAACGTACAGTAAAAGTCTCTAGAGAAACCCATTTTGCGAAGTGAAAGCCAGGCACAAAAGGACAAATATCGTGGGATCCCACTCATACGAGGCACTTAGCGGAGTCGAGTGCACAGAGCATGGAGTGGTGGCCGCCGAGGGCTGAGGAAACGGAGAAAGAGGAGTGATGGTTCTAATAGGCACAGCTTCAGTTCGTGAAGATGAAAAAGCTCTGGAGATGGATGGTGAGGACTGCACGATGTGAATGTACTTAACATTATAAATTGTACCCCTAAAACCGGCTAAAATGCTAATTTCAAGCTACATGAGGGGGGTCTTCAAAAAGTTCGTGGAAATTGTATTAAAATGTCCATTTGTTTGCACCAAAATAAATTCACACTTAGGACCAGCAGATGGCATGGTGGTCAAGGTGCTGGATCACACAATAGCTGACTCTGTGGTTCAAGTCCCAGAATTGGCAGCTTGAAAAACACACTGGGTGCATGTGTATGCCCAAAATCCAGGAGAAGGGATTGTGGCACAGCGGTCACCGCTGGAGGGGTGATTTCTCACTTTCTCTCTCTGACTCTCCCTGTCTCTGGTGAGCACATGTGCCCTATGGCAAAAAAAAAAAAAAAATTAATGAATACAACTCACATTTTGGTTCTACTTTTCAACAAACTTTTTGAAGTCTCATCATATATACTTTACCACACACCAAAAATAGTGACGGAGAGTAATGCCAGCTCTTTCTACTCAAACCGCTCTCTAGAATGGAGTGACTGAGTGCAGGGACCGGCATAGAGGCCTCTGACGTCTTCGTCCAATGACTAAGCACCCGGACCCACCCTGGTGACCCAGAGCCGGCATCAGTTCCTGCATGGCTGAGGCGAGGGAGCAGTTAAGCCAGACAGAGTTGTATCAGAGCTCCACCTTGGCCATGTGACCCCCGACCTCCCAACCTCCGCTCCTCCGTGTAAGATGGGATCATAATCGCACCTGACAGACAGCCTGATGACACCGTTGCAGAGGCCCCTCTTCAGGGCCTGGGCTGCACCCCATGACCACTCCGGGCCAGGCTCAGGGTGCGTCCTGCACAAGAGCTCATTCAGTGTGCTAGAAAGAGCACAGGGAAGGGGGAGGCCACGTGGCCTGGGGCCGCACCCGCTCCAGCTCCACCACCCACTGCCTGTGAAATGGGCATAAAAGAGACCTGCCTCCCGCGCTTCGCCTGAGTCTCCCAACAGCCCGGCAAGGGAGCGCTCTCCCCGGGTCACAAGGAGCCCATAGCTGGGCGCCCTGCTCAGGAAATGGCCCTGTGTCCTGTCCGTGTGCAGGGAGTGCGGCCGTGCGGCAGTCCCGTGGGTCTGGATTCAAGGTGGGGCCCCGAGTCCATGCCCACCCGAGCCCCTGCCACCCCCAGGTGCTGCGGGACCCCTGAGTCCAGGGCTGGGTCAAAGCTGGAGCCGGCTCTGGCTCTGGCCCCACTTCTGGCCCTCTCTGGCTCTGCCACTTGGGCCGGTCACTGTCCTACCCTAAGGTAAAGCGAGCGATGCGGGGTCAGCCCCTTTGGTCACCCAGCTGCCTCCTCACAAAGAACGGCCCAGGGGAGGTCGAGACCCGGGGCCTGTCTGAATTCCCGGCCTCTCTCTGCCCCCTGGTGGACACCAGCAGCCTAGCACCCGGGGGAGATGGTCGTGGAACACAGAGTGACTCCCAGGGACTTGGGGACTTGCTGGTGACCCCTGCCTAGGCTCCCACCGCTCTGAGCTCGAGTTCCCATCAGTTAACCAGAGATAATAACAGAACCTACCTCGCTGGGTCGTTGGGAGGATGCAAAGGGACTGTACATGCAAAATGCTGGGCCGGGGTGGTGCCACCAACAGAGGGCAGGTCCTGTGCTGGGACGGGTTAGTCCTGTCATCAGTGAAGAATGTAGTGACTAGGAGCTTAGAGGACGTGTTTGTTATTAGAAACCGGAGCTGTTTACTTAAGCTGTGAATGAACTCGTGATTCCTTGGATAATTAACCCAACTCTGGACAAATGAACTCATCAGCCTTATGTATGTCATTGATTTCTTTGTTCAAAACACCCAGTTTAAAGGATCTTTTCTCCCTTTGTTTATTCTCTTCTAACTCATATTTATTATTTCTTTCCTCTTTCAGAGGTTTGTTTTATGCCTCTTTTCCAACATCGTAAATTGAGTGCTTGCCTTATTTATTGTTTACTATTAACAGCTTTTTTGAGATATCATTTAGACACCATAAAATTCACCTATTTGGGGATCAGTAGGTGGTGTAGTGGCTAAGGTGCTGGACTCCCACAGTTCAAGTCCCAGACCTGGCGGCTTGAAAATCACGCCGGTTAGGACCAGCAGATGGAATAATGATTACTTCACTGGACTCCCAGGTGGCCGACCACAGTTCAAGTCATGGACCCAGCAACTTAAAACTCACGCTAGGCACATGTGCGTGTGTGCTCAAAATCTGGAGAGGAGAATAGAGGAGAAGAGATTGTGGTCATCCCCCCGTGGGGTGATTTCTTGCTTTTTTGTCTTCTGTCTTGCCAGCGAGCACATAAGCCCTATATTTAAAAATTCTTCTTAAAATAGGGGCCAACAGGGACGAGCAGTTGGCATAATGGCTACGTCGCTGACTCCCATGTAGTCAACCGCAGTTCGAGTCCTGGACCCAGTGGCTTAAATTCACACCAGGCACGTGTGCGTGAGTGCCCAAGATCCTGAGAGGAGAATGGAGGAGAAGGGATTGCAGCATGGCCATCCCCCCTGGGGGGATGATTTCTCGCTTTCTGTCTCTCTGTCTCTCTCTGTCTTTCTGGTGACCGCAAGCGCCCTGTAGCAAAATCCTCTCCAGAAAGAAAAAAGAAAGAAAAGAAAAGGGAGCCAGAAAGTGGCATGGTGGTTAAGGACACCGGACTCCCACCTGGCCAACCGTAGATCAAGTCTTGGACCTGATGGCTTGCTTTGTCGTTTTCCCTCCTTCTCTCTTTTGCTGTGTCCCTCTTCGGTCAAATTTAAATAAATAACTAAATAAATAACTAACTAAATAAATAAAGTTAAGTAATTCTTTTTTTAAAAAAAAGGAAAAAGAGAGAAAGAAAAGAAAAACACATCGGGCACCTGTGTGTGCCTGCCCAAAATCCCAGAATAGAGGAGAAGGGGTTATAGTGTGGCCATCCTCCCAGGGGGGCGATTTCTCATTTTCCCTTTCTCTGGCGAATGCACATGCCCTATGACTAAAACAAAACAAAACAAAACAAAAATACCTATTTTAAGTGCACAATCCAACGGCTTTTCATATACTCACAGTATCGTCAACTCGCACAATGTAATTTTAGATTTTCAGTCGTCCCAAAGGAAACGCTGTGCCGTTTGCCATCCATCCGCTTCCCCCCAGCCCGCCCCGGGCCCTCAGCAACCATGACCCGCCCTCGGCACTGGGCTGCACGTGCCGGGCACCCCCACGACCAGCCATCCGGTCTGTGGTATCTTGTGTCTGACCTTGTTCACTAACAATTCTTTTCATCTCAGCCTTTTTGAATGAAAGTCGTAAGGAAACTTTCTCCACCACCTTCTGATTGTTCCTTCCGTATGCGCGCCCCTTCCCGTTCCTATCTGGCAAGGTTTGTCTTTCCGGGCAAGGATCTTTTTGCAGTCTTTATCGAATTTTAGCTCGGGATAGCGACCGTGCTGGGGTGAATGTCGCATGGGGAGTGTGCCCTTAGCCTTCTGCTGCTCCTGTTCTAGGGAGATGGCGCGTTTCTTTCTGTAAACCTCCGCAATGTCCTGCCCAACCCGAACTTCGTCCCTCCAGGTAAGTGTGGATGAGTGTTGGTCGCTAAGCGCTTTGGCCTCCACTGTTTGGAAAGAGGGGACACGATCTTCCCGCTGATGTGGGAGGTGCACTGAGATGCTGTGTGAGGGCGTGTGTGAGTGGATGAAATACATTTAATTTTTTTTCATTTTTAGGTGAGCACTTTTATTGAACTGGTCTCAAGTGGGCGTACAGGTAAGCCCTGGCTGCCCCCACACCTATCCATGCCAGGGAGGCCTAAAGCCTTCATACATCTCGGGTTGGGGGACAAAAATGGGGATCCACAATGGCTTGTCATTCAAAATAAAACAAAATAAAGAAGTATTAAGGCGAAGATGAAAAATATGAAAAATATTTGCGTTACATAAGTTACACAGAAGCAATGTCGTCACTTCCCCGTGTGTATTTGGGTGAGGACGGGGCCGTTCTCCTTCAGGAGAAGTGGGGCAGCTTCTGGGACGGCGAGAACTTCCTGTAACAATGCATCCCACAATATTCGGAATGACTATTAAAAAAAGAACAATGTGGGGACCAGCAGGTGGCATGGTGGCTAAGGCACTGGACACTCCCACATGACCAACCATGGTTCAAGTCCCGGACCTGGTGGCTTGCTTTCTCGCTTTTCCTCTCTCTCTCTTTCTCTCTCTCTCTCTCTGTGTCTTTCTGGTAAAATTAAAATGAACAAATGAATGAAAAAAAAGAACAATGTACAATCTAAGTCTTCGGCCACACTGCAGAACTCAGGATACTCGCTTCAACCAATTACTGTCACCCTCACTGTTCTAGTTTTTAAATCTTGAGTCAAGCCAAATTAACTCAATAAATAAATAACAAAAAATAAAAAAACAGAAACAAACAAACAGAAAAGAATAACCAAACAAATAAAACTAAAGTCGTGCCAATCTCATCTCGTTTTCTGCGCGAGTTAGTTCTTGTCAAGAGACGGTGTGACACAACTACGTAACGGTCTGCCTGGAAGCACGGCGGTGCCCGATGGAGGGGCCGGACTCGTCGGGTGGACAGCGAGGCCAGGGTGGAGCCACCGGTCACACAGTACTTGCACTCGGGGGAGCGACGACCTCCACCGTCGTGGTGCTCGGTGCCGGGAGGTTATCTCCCTCTGCATTCTGTCGGCAAGGCCTGGAGCCATGGTGGTGCCCCAGACAGGGCGTGTTGGCACTCAGGTCCTTGCCGATGTCCACTTCGCACTTTGTGCTGGAGTTGAAGGTGGTTTCGTGGACGCCACGAGATTCCATGCCCAGGAAAGATGGCTGGCAGGGCGTCTCAGGACAGCGGAAGCCTCATGGCCGATGGTGATCGCCTGACCGTGGCTCTTTTCCAGGGAGGAGCCGGGGGCTGTGGTGGCCGTCTCCTGCTCGAAGTCCAGGGCGACATAGCACAGCTCGTCCTTGATGTCACGCACAGTGTCCCGCTTGGCTGTGGTGGTGAAGCTGTAGTCGCGCTCCGCGAGGATCTTCATGAGGTCGTCCGTCAGGTCCCGGCCAGCCAGGTCCAGACGCAGGATGGCATGGGGAAGGATACCCTCATAGATGGGCACAGTGTGGGTGACCCCATCACCGGAGTCCGTCACGACGCCAGTGGTACGGCCAGAGGCACACAGGGACAGCACCACCTGGAGGGCCACGTACATGGCTGGGGTGTTGGTCTCAAATGTGATCTGGGTCATCTTTTCCCGGTCGGCCTTGGGATTCAGAGGAGCCTCGGTCAGCAGCACAGGATGCTCCTCGGGGCTCCATGCCACTCATGGTAGACAGTATGGTGCCAGGTCTTCTCCATGTCGTCCCAGGTGGTGACAACGCCGTGCTCAATAGGGTACTTTAAGGTCGGCATGCCTCTCTTGCTCTGGGCCTCATCGCCCACATGCCAACCATCACACCCTAGTGCCCGGAGGGCATTGTTGCCAGCAAAACCAGCCTTGGACATGCTGGAGCCGTTGTCCTGTCAGCCATGGCGAGCTGAGTGGCGGGTATGGATTGGGGGCAGAGGAACAGTGAGGGCAAGAGGCCTGTGCTCGCAGTGTGGACGCAGCCTCATTGGGCACCAGTGGATGGATAAGGTGCTGGACACTCCCACATGGCCAACCACAGTTCGGGTCCTGGACCTGGTGGCTTGCTTTCTCACTTTCCTTCTCTCTCTCTGTGTGACTTTCTCTGGTCAAATTAAAATAAATGAATGAAGAAATAAAATTAAATAAATAATTATTTTTAAAATATTTATTGTTGGGACCAGCAGGTGGCGTGGTGGTTAAGGTGCTGGACACTCTCACATGGCCGACTGCGGTTCGAATACTGGACCTGGTGGCTTGCTTTCTCACTTTCCTTCTCTTTCTCTCTGTGTATCTCTCTCTGGTCAAACTAAAATAAATTAATGACTAAATACAATTAAATAAATAATTTTTTGAATTTTTTGTTGGGGCTGGCAGGTGGCGTGGTGGTTAAGGGTGCTGGATTCCCTCATAGCTGACCCTGGTTCAAGTCTCGGACCTGGCAGCTTGCTTTCTCACTTTCTTTTTCTCTCTTTCCCACTCTATTTCTCTCTGGTCCAATTAAAATAAATAAAGTTAAGATAAAAACATTTATTGTAATTTATGATCTACATGTAATCATTATACATCTTTGTAGAGCACAGAATGTCTTTTTTGTTTTGTTTTAGAATTATTTTATTTTATTTATGTATTATTACTATTATTTTTAATTTGACCAAAGAGAGACAGAGGCACAGAGAGAGAGAGAGAGAGAAAGGGAATGTGTCTCTGTATTAATTCAGCATACCCATGTATTTGCCATTTCCTCTGTTTTTCAGTTATTCCTGCACGTTGGAGCTTTATCTGGGGTTATTTTCCTCCTGTCAGGACAACACCCTGCAGTATTTCTTTCAATATAGGACCGCTAGAAATGACTTTTGTTGTTGTTGTTGTTGTTGTCTGCAAAAGTCTTCCGTCTCCTTCATTCCTGAAGGATAGTTTTGCTGAGTATAGAATTCTAGGAGGCAGTGGCATTCTTTTAGCACTTTGACTAGTCTGTCTCCTGGCTTGCACATCTCTGCTGAGAAGTCTGATCAGTTGTCCTTTGAAGGAAACTGGTTGTTTTTAAGATTTCCTATTTGGTTTCCAGTCACTTGACTCTGATGTGAGTAGGTATACTTCTCTTTTAATCCTG